CAGCCTCCTGCTCTGATATCAATTGATGAGACTAAAACTCTTTAAGACCGATAAGATTCTTAACAAACAACACAAAAACACAAAGTAAATAAGAACACAAGATGAATCAAACTAATGTCGAATGATTAATAAGCCACAACCTCAGAAGAACTCTATTAAGAATATCTACTGTAGAGGTGTGGTAGGGTTACAATAATGATATCAACGACTACTTTATACACGGTGCATGCATGCAATTTATATAGATACTATAACCCTAATAAATGACGGCTGGACAAGCCCAAAACCGTATACAAAATGGACTAAAGCAAAAAGCCCAATGACGCAATCTTCTATACCTAACAGAAATAAAAGACGGTCCGAATTAATTTTTAAAAATAAAAACTGATGCATTTCAGCACCAACACAAACGGACTCTCTTTGTCCCTAAACAATGTATAATTGTTTTTTTTGCTCTAGTTCTTTGCTAGAGTCTTGTTTTTTATATATGGCTGTTTCAAAAAAAAATGGACTCTATTTGTAAATATTCTTTCAAATACATATAAGAATATAAAATAGTTATGTTTGATACCATGAAATAAAAATAAAAAGAAATGGAAAATGAAATGAACAATAGAAGGTAATGGACTAAGCCATTATCATATTTAGATTGGGATGAATGAATAGAACGATCCATTTTAGCATGTTATGTACAATTTGAAAAGGAAATGAAAAAAGTTGATGAATAAAGAAAAAAAATGTTATTTTGTAGAAACATATATATTTGACCAAAGTCAAATCACAAACTCAATGAAACAATGCACCTGATAGTGCCCCCAATTTCTAACGTGACCCTCCTCGTGATTAACAAATCTCGAGTCAAAATTCAACACGCCACTTTAAGCTCCATTTATAACCGCCAGAATCCTCCTTATATATGCTCCAATCTCACAGGAACCATTCACAACCTCAGAAGCAATCGGGCTGTGCTCGAGAAAACCATGGGAAGTGAAGGTTCTGATCTGTTTGTGAAGCGAAAACCAAGGATCCTTTGCCTCCATGGATTCCGAACAAGCGGAGAAATCTTCAAAACTCAACTGAAGAAATGGCCGGAATCGGTTCATGAAAAGGTCCAGTTCTTCTTCCCTGATGCGCCGTTTCCATGTAATGGTAAATCAGAGGTCGAAGGGATTTTTGACCCGCCTTATTACGAATGGTTCCAATTCAATAAGGTTGGATTATCTCATATATATTCGCAATAGTTCTATTTCTAACCGATTTTAGGGATTTTGATTTTTATTTTGGAACAACTGCAGGATTTTACGGAGTATGAGAATTTCGATAAGTGTCTTGAACATATCGAAGATTTAATGATTAAGCATGAGATCGATGGTTTGATGGGATTCTCGCAGGTTTTCACGTTGATTTGATATATATATATATATATAATATATATATATATATATATTTTTTTTTTTTTTTTTTGTCAAATACAATTTGATGAACGTGAATCGAATTGATTCTGTTCTGTGTATTTATTTAGGGTGCAATTTTGTCAGCTGCCTTGCCAGGACTGCAAGCTAAGGCATGTTCTTCTCTCCATAACCAACACTTTTGCTAAGAACCATGATCAATGCATTACGTACAAACATTAATGCACATATTGTTTGTTGCAATTGTTAATTTAGTTATTAAAGATTTAATGAAGTTGTAGGATCAAGTTTGTAACAATAATGACAACTAACATTCCTTATTGGAAATTAACGTTAAGTAATGTTGTCTATGTAATTTATAATTTGAACTTATTAATGAAAGAAAATACACAAACAAAAACCTTCATAGGTCACAGAACTTAATCATTTCTTCAGCAAGTTCACTTAATCAAAATCAGACATCAAATATAATTATATATTACTGAGAAATTAGTGATTTTTAAATACATATTTTTCAGGGATTGGCATTGACGAGGGTACCAAATATTAGATTTGTGATAATAGTCTCAGGGGCAAAATTGAAAAATCAAACGTGGGCTGACAAGGCATATTCGCTCCCCATACAATGTCCTTCTCTCCATTTTTTAGGTACTCTTTTTGGCCTCTTTCCATGTGTTTGGTATTTGGTACTTTGTAGTGTAGATCATTTTAATAGAATTGAAGATGCAAATTATGTTTTTTTTAGACGTCCGATGTATAACATCAAATGTTAAAGCGTTTATTTTGAATAATATTTTAAATTTAACATGTAAAGTTATTAATGGAAATAATATATTTTGTTGTAGGGAAATATGATTAAGTATAAGATGTTTGTAGGCTTTGTTTGAAGATTCAAAATTGCATTAAATGTTGCATTAGAATCTTTGGAATCTTTAAAATATATGGACGCTATTTTAACATGTAGACAACTCTTCTTGTCCACAAAACTCACCAAACCCAATAATGACATAATAAATAGTGATGCATATTTTCCACATTTTAGCTCCTCATTATTATTGCATTTTTGCATTTTCTAGAAAAACACTCATTATAAAATATTGGACATCCACATCAACTAGAAAAACCTTTTATTTTTAATATGATTTGGAGTATCTTTATAGTATTATTATCTTTTGTCAGGGGAAGCGGATTTTTTAAAACCATATGGACTTGAACTTTTAAAATCAGTTGAAGATCCCATCGTCATTCATCATCCTAAAGGCCATACCATTCCAAGATTTGGTAAATCTTTTACTATTTATTATTACTTTTTTTATAATTTAATATCACATAATTATTTTTAAAATACATATTTGTGATCTCTCTCTCTCTCTCATATAATTTCAGATGAAGAAGGGTTGGAGAAAATGTTGAAATTTATTGATAGAGTTGAAAAGATTGTTTCTAACAAGGAAGATGATGTAGTCACAGTTTCGTATGAAGAATCAACAATTGCTGCATAAATTTGTGATGTTAATGGTATGGTTATCACTAATGTATAACTTGTGAAACCATATGATATGATGCTTATTTATTATATAATGATAGATTTGAATAATTATTTGTTGAAAATTCTATAGCAAACATCGGCATACGAGTTGTAAAAATGTTGGATGTTATTCTATATATGTAACCGAGTATTGTTGTCCCCCTAGAAGATGACATGATATATTAACAATAATGACATTTTACCTAATTTACCTTTGTTTTTCCTCACAATTCTCTCATGTAAAAGTTGATGAATATTGTTAAAACTAATAAATACTGTGACATTTGCCTTTAGTCATATTCAAACTTCTTTTTCCTCACAATTCCTCCGTGTAAACTGTAAAGTAATATTTGTAAACATTTTACAACTTTGGGAGTAAATTAAGTTCTTATATTTATGGGTAGAAAATAATGTACAGAGACTATGTTATTAGCGGAAATAAAGTATGTTGTTACCCCCCTACAATTTGGCCAAATAAAAAATAATTGGACCAAAATGAAGTTACCCTAAATAGTTTATTGACCAACCCCGAATACATACTTGGCTTTGTTCAAGTTTGAAAACATAAACATAAAAAAATAAATAAATAACTAAATAAATAAATAAAGAAAGAAAAAAAAAACGATTTCAAAGTTTAAAAAGTAGACCAAATCATTTTGTATTTCCAAGGAGAAAATGATGGGAGCTGAAACTAAATTCCAAGTAGGAAGAAACACCTAAAATAATCCCATTTGAAATCCATATATATATGATGCGTAAATGAGAAGAATATATGGTAAACAACCAACATTAGAATTTAGAAGCAAAAGAAGATGACAACAACTACCAAATGTAACATCATAACAAACAAAACTCCATAACAGCCACCCACCAATCAACAAGTTCCATCAAAACTCAGTCGGAGGCTTCAACCTTATCAGCCTTTTGATTCTATCTTTGTCCGTGTTCTCCAACAACCCCTTTATAACAAATCCATAACATCAGTATAATAAATAAACATTTGACAAATTTGACAGAGATGTCCATGTAATTTTTTGTGGCACACGAAAATGAAGTTAGTTAGTTAAATTAAATGTGATTGCGTATATTATAGGATATTCCAAAGTAAATGTATTTTAGTTTATTGTACACAAAGATTTTTATATTTTTTTTAAAAGAATATATATAGAGTAAAGGATGGGAGGGGAGGGTACCTTCCATACAATTTCATCAAGGCATAAGCAAATCCTACCATACTTGTCCAAGAAAAGGCGCTCTGTTGGAGGCTTCCCACATACATCCTTTATGGCCGATGTAACAACAAATATTGCTTCTGACACTTCCAAAAAAAAAAAAATCCAACATTAACAACTTCAAAATCTAAGAAGTAATTAGAGACTTGAGTTTTGTATGCTTACAAGCAAGTTCATCATACTCATCCTTGCCAACAAGATAGATGCTGACGTGTCCAAGCACAGTGTATACAATATACACAGACCTGAAAAGCCAATGCCAAAACATACATACTATTTTTAGGCTTAGGTGTTTTTCTTTTTGACTTAATGCATGTAGAAAGAACGACTTTATAGAGAAAGTCTGGAGCAATAAGTATGCACATACAATAATAAAAATTAGCACAATTCAATTGACAATTTGACACATGAGTCACGACATATAGGATTAGGAATGAATGGATCCCCTACTCACTCACTTGTGGCATGCGACAAGAAGTTCTTCATTTTTGACACCTTTAAGGTTATCTGCTCCAAGTTTGACCAAGAAAGACCGCCAATGCAACCGTTCTTCACCCGGAACACCATTGAATCTGCAACACATTCATAATCATATGTGAAGTTTGTATAAACATATAAATGGATCAAAATAGTACTAGATTTTGCAATTTATATTGGAAGGAGTTTCCTTTCATAATGACCAAAAAGCCCCTTAGCTAGACTAGAGAGCATATGAATAATGGAAATGGTGGTTTGGGAGAGAAAGGGTTTGAAGGTACCGTTCAACCAGGATATTGCCCTCAGAGTTGGCGATCAGCACAGCCAGTAACATCTTCTTTCTGTCTTGTACTAACAACCTACTTTCCTTTCCTTTTTTTTTTTTTTTTTTTTTTTTTTTGAGGGGGATAAAAAAAAAGATTGATCAGATTTCAATTCAATGATCTACAAACTCTGAAGAAAGATTATACATTAATCATCAACCAGAGAATCATTATTTTAGAATTGTATCTTCTTTCTTGGAACAACATGAAAAAAATATATATAGCCTTTTTAGTAGTTCAACATCACAGATATCAATAGAACTACATGTTATGTGAAATTTTTAGTTTTGGAATCTACTGAGTTTATAGAAAGATTTTCAAGTTCGCAACAATCGAGTCACTATTTTTCTTTTATAAGGTACAGTAATTTTCAACAAGTTTTTGGATATGACAAAGATACCCTTCTCGGTCAAGAGTAAAAGTTGTTAGGGGCATTTCAACAGTTTTACTAATACTTGGGAACCCTCAAGAAATATGTACAATCAAACATTGTCATAGGGAAGCGAACACTGGCAGATTATCTTGCAAATGAATATTATAAACACAAAGATCAAATTATATAATAGATTGGGTTGGCTAAATAATGGGCTCATAAAAAGGGACAAGATAAGGTAAACAAAATTTAGACCTCCATAAAGCAGCAAGTTTTTCAGTAGTGCTGTTGCATTGTTATTTTCTTGTGTTCTTAACTGCTTCACATTCCAATTTTTGCAATACATTCAGTATTACTTTCAGTTATTTTAGTTATCCATGTTCTTCTTTTCATTGTAGAGTCTATTTTATAATATCTGACTGAATGCTGATATTCAATAATTCAAATGCAGGATCTTTTATAATTTCTTTTCCTTATCTAATAAAAAGTCGCTTTGGACCCAAAATAAACAACCCATGAAAATTTATAGTTGTTCAATCAAACTTTATGCCTGTATAAGGGATGAAACTTGAAGTCTTGAAGTATGATAACACCAAGAAAAACAAGAAATACACAGCACTGAAGAAGATGCACAGCAGCTGTTCTTTTCTGGCATAATCATGTAGGCAAACATGCAAGGATGTTAGATACTATTTCCCATGTCCTAAACACTACACTTTTAGTTTCTAAAATTCAAACTCTATACCTTATAAAATAAACGGAAAAAACATGTATTCAGTTTGTTATGTCAAAACATTATTAATTCTTCCAATTCTTCTATGTTTAATGTATGTATATACTTTTTCTTAGAATTGGGAATATTCATGTCAGTTTTGAAGCTTAAAAGTCAGTTCTCATCTACTGAGATTCGATGGTTAAATCTGCAATCTTTTGCAAAACAAAGAAGAGAAAAGATGTCTGCCAACACATATGGAACATTTCTATACCAGTTTGATGGAATTTTTTTGGCCAACTCTGGCTAGTTCAATTCACAGTTTTATACTGTAATCCAGCCACAACAGTAATGCACACTGCTCAATGCCAACTACATAAAATGAATCAGAAGAATTGCAAGTGGCCATTTGGCGTATTATCAGTTCATAGGCTCCCAAATTCACCACCAAATATTGTGGACAGCCAAAAGTTATTCATAAATCTATACAAAGACCAACATTTACCATCACCTTATTATAATTGCTTTTCAAGTGGAAGAAAATGTGAATTGACAAACATTCTCTCCTTCACTTTGTCACAGCTTACTTTACGAATATGAAAATCACGATTCAATCTCCAGAAAACCCAAAAAAACTGAATTTGGATCTAGAAAATCGATACCAAATTGCAATCGGGAAAAACTATGATTTAATGATAATATCAAATATGAAGTTAAGGAATTATTATTGATCATCTTCCTAGCTCTCTCTTTGATGTCGGATAGTAAGTGAGAATCATAATCAATAATTTATCCATACGACCATAATCACATCAGCAAACCAGTAATACGACTAATTTTAGAAAAAACTGATCAATACAATAGAACTAGGGTTTCGCAGTACCTGAAGCAGTAGATCACCGACGATCGACGAGAAAGAACGAACACGAAGAGAGGAATCCTACAGCAAACCAAAGTATGAAAGCATTTTCAAAAGAAAACGATATATGCTGTGTAATATTCGTAATCTCCCTATGTTCAACTAACTAAAGTAAACAAAAGACTACATCAACTAAAAATATTTTTGTATATAATTTTGGAATATATACATTTTTGGAATTTCCAGGGAAAAAAAACCACAACTTTGGAATAGAATTTAAAGAACAAATCTAAAATCTAATAAATTATATTGGAATTTTGAGAAAAAACTTAGGTTTTTTTTTCTAAAGTCTAATTGTTAAACAAACATGGTAATTAGAAGTATTTACGATACAAGAGCTTAAATTCATATATTTAGTTGAAAAACAATGATATTTTAATGCTTAGATATTCTAAACATAAATTGAGAGATTTATTTGAAAAAAAAAAACTTTGGAATTTGGTATTTTTCACATAATATTAAAAAATGGCTACTTTTATTTATTGAGAAATTAAATATTCTTCTATTTTTTTCCTGCATATCCTCCTTCCCATTTGAAATGATGACAAGTATACTAAATTAATGATAATTTTATCCAAATATGACACATGTCACCATTTTACATGGGTAGGAACATAAATAAGAAGAAAATATAGGAGGATATTTAATTTCTCTTATTTAAAAGCTCAATTTACAAGGGTTAGTTTAGTTAATGTTCCTTTAATTATTCATTAGAGTAAGTTACATACATGGTCGCATGGTTTTTGTCGTTTCAATAACTATTTGTAAAAGAAAATAATTATTTTACCGTTATGCTTATTATAACTATGTAATTTTTGAGTCGGTACCCTATTAGGATTAACGTATGTTATGGAATTAAAATCCGTATTAGTGATTTCTAATAAGAATGATACTTATATAATTCGACTACCTTATGTTTATGGATTGTAGTTTGTAATAAGAACTCACTAAGGGTCTCTTTGATTTATCTTTTATTGAGTCCAGTAAAAAGTTATCTCTTACTTGGTCCAGTAAATGTGTTTGATATAAGAATATTTAACCTATTAGCGATCCTCTTACCGAGTCTAACAAAATAAAAGTTGACCGAGTAATTTGGAATTTTATCCCATTTTTTTAACCTTAATAGCCCGTTTCCGAGTTCAACTTAATGGGAGAAAAGAAAAAGAAATAGTGGAAATGAGAAGAAAATAAAAGAAATTGGTGTTCCCGAGTTTTATTAAAGGAAGGAAGTGGGGGAAATGGAAGGATCACTTTCTCTCATTTTCCTTCCGATTTGGGAGGATTTGCAAAGAAATAACAAAATAATTAATTTTCCTTCCACTTCTCTCCAAATCGGGAACACAAAATAAAATTTTGTTTTCCTTTCCCTTCTCTTCGTTTCTCCCATGACTTTCTTTTCTCTTCTTTTATTTTCTTTTGTTAAACTCGAGAATTAGGCGTAAGGAACACATCGCTTCTTTTGAATTCCACCGATTCTGCTTCCATCGCCGTCTCCTTCCTCTGCTGTCGACACCAACGCTTTCCTCTGGCAATCACGTCTCCTTCTTCCGTTGACGCCGACGCTTTCCTCCGGCGATCGCTCAGGCCTCGACGCCTCCACCTCTGACGAACCCCATTGCTCCATTTGCATTTCCATCTCGACTCAAGGTCTCAGCCTCTTAGGTTTCTTTAGTTTTTCATATTTTTTTGTTTTTTTTCACTCTTTTTTATTCCTATATACTTCTAGTCTTCCATGTATGAACGAGATTGAAGCATAAAAATTTGTTTCTATTTTAGATTGAAGTTATAATCCTCATACGCGAAGTAGTTTGAAGCAAGAAATGATCTTCTATTCTAATGGCTCAAAAGGTGTTTGATGTGTAACAACCCAATTTTTCAAAAGAAATTTTACATTTTTAAATAGTCAAAACACTTTTCCATAAACCATGAAATCTCTATACAATTGTTTTCAAATTCATATCCATAACAATATTATTTCCAAACATCAGAGTGTCCCATAAAAATGCCTGAGAGAGTGCATGTCGCGCCATCAAGCCTTGCCCTTGCCCTTGGGCTCAGATGTACCTGAAACAAATCCACAAACTGTAAGCTAATGCTTAGTGAGTCCCCCAGAGCATACCCCACATACAATCCACATATCACATATCAAATTAGCTATAAAAGCTACATATATCACATAAGCCATGCATACAACGTATAAGGAAGCCATGGAAACCCTCCAGGGTCTTACACATAGTGCCACTAGAACCCCCACGTGGTCTTAACTACCTGCCATGGGAACCCCCGCATGGTCTTCCTGCCATGGGAACCCCCACATGGTCTTCACTAACTGCCATAGGAACCCCCACATGGTCTTCACTACTAAGCAGATATCATACAAGTTAACATGCAAATATACTAGGATGCCATGGAAACCCTCCAAGGTCTTATACCAATTGCCACGGGAACCCCTCGGGGTCTTCCATGCAAATGTCATACTATCATAACGCATAATCAATCGACAATCCACACATCCTAAAATGGGTCGGCCTTGGTGCCTTAGACCCATTGGTATGGTGAGAAGACTCACCTCTCGAATGCTGAACTGACAAGCTAAGATCAGATGTATCCCACGCACTGCTCCTCCTCAACTGCCTATAACCAACATGTGATTAACTTTTCATAATCCCATAATTACCCTCAAGGTCAACCCTGGTCAAAGTCAAGGTCAACAGTTAATGTTGACCTCAACTCGTCGAGTTCCTCCCTGAGTCCATTCCACTGAATCTTATGTCAACTCGCCGAGTCACCTAAGTGACTCGTCGAGTTCATCAAATGTCCAAAACACCAAAGGTCCATGCAGTCCCAAAACCCTAATCCTCCACTACACTAATTCCGAACCTCGAAAACGGGTAAACCCTACCCGACTCGTCGAGTCAACTAAGGGACTCGACGAGTTCCTTCATTCCCTTTTGTGTTCAGCCCTTTTCAGTGAGATCTAAGGTCCTAAACTTCAGATCCACCCTTCCCTAATGTAGTTACCATGTAAAGTTGCAAACTTTACATGCAAGCAAGGCCTCACAAGGCTAAAACATCAAAACTAAGCTTCCTACAAGGTTTTTGTGCATGGAAAGGGACTAAGTTGTAAAAAGTGAGCAACTTTATGTCATTGGGGACCTAGAGAGGTCCAGATCTGGAACTATATCCTTGTGATAAGTCCAGATCCGAGTTTGACTCCATTTTGCACCAAAAATGGCCATTACTTCCAAGAAAAGGGATCTAAGCAACTAGAGATCAAGGTAACGACTTTATACCTCAAGATGATGGCCAATACAGAGTAGATGTCGAATCTACTGCCTCTTTCCTTGCTCTTTCTTCTTCAAGCTCTAAAATCCTTCACAAATCCACCAAAATTGCTCACAAAAGCTCTTTCTCTCACTCAAGAAGGTGCAAGGTCCAACTAGGGTTTTCTCTGTGAACAACCAACGTTGCCACCTCCGTTCCTTGTTGCTGTGAAGACTTGTGTAACATCCATAAAATTCAAGCCAATTTAATACTTTTTCAACCATTCAAAAACCATTAATTATTACAAAGTGTTTTCAAAATAGTTTAATGTCAGAGTATCCTAGAAATCAAAATCATAAAATAAGAGGTGCGCGATCACGCCTTCGCGTTCCCACGATCATCTGAAGTACCTGAAACAAAATCAACAACTGTAAGCCTGAAGCTTAGTGAGTTCCCCCAAAATACCAACGCCATATAAACCATAACGATATCATGCAAACAACATGCATATATAGAGAGTCTACAGTACCACTGGTCCACCCATACCGGACCATCAACCTACCTGGTCCACTCTCAGAGTCTACAGTATGACTGGACCGCCCTCACCGGGTCATCAGTCTATCTGGCCCACTCTCAGAACCTTCAGCATGTTTGGTCCGCCTTTTCGGGCCTTCAGCCTGTCTGGACCGTTCTTCGGGTCTTCAGCCTGACTAGTATGCCCTACCAGGTATGCAGTCTATCCGGGCTGCCCTTGGTATGTTGGCCTAGAGCACAAAGCAGGACCGCCTCAACCCAACTGCCAATCACACAATCAACACATAATATCATACGCTAGCTAGCATGTACAAATAGTCATACAGATCTGACATATTACTAATCATAGCATCATCCTATATACCAGGATACCGATCTAACAGACCACTAACATAGCATCATCCTATAACCAGGATATAGATCTAACAGATCACTAACATAACATAATCCTATAAACAGGATACAATCCAAAAAGGGCCGACCTTGGTGCCGTAAACCATGTTGATATAGTGAGAAGAACTCACCTCACAAGTAGTGTTGAACTGGACTGAAAGTCTCCGACCGCTGTCTCACCGAAAATCATGAACTATCCAAAATAACGAATATTGAGTCAACAATTGGGATATCACTCTTGACCAAGGGTCCCATATAGGGTAATTGTCCATTATTTCATTTTCTCTAATTTGGGCCAAGGCCCAATACCAAATCCATGATCTAAAAGTCAACATATCCAAGGCCCATCAATGGCCCAATTTTCCCAATTGGGCCCAACTCCCTAATTGGGCCTCATTTTAAGATCCATTACCAAAACGAGCCCTAAACACATCTATTCAGAAAGTCCAGCAAGGCCCATGTCAAACTGGCCCAAAAGTGGCCCAACCCCGAATCCCAAATCGCCAAAAGCCCAACAGAGGGCGTACGCGGGGCGTACTCCTCTGGTACGTTGGGCGTACTCCGCCTTGCGTTGACCACCATCGGGGTTGTTGACTCAGTACGCTGGGCGTATAGAAATTACACGGGGCGTACACAGGCTTTACCAAAACTCTAATAAGTGCTTAATGGCTTAAGCACTTAAGTCCAAATTCCAGATCCATCGACCAAATGTGTCTTAGAACCATAAAGTCTCGAACTTTAAGACTTTGGACATCCATAAAGTTCTTAATACATGGTCTTAACCCATTAAGACCTTTCTACTACATATATGGGACACTTTTAGCCATCAGGACATCATTTTATCACGTAGGACCCTTTCTAGGGTCTGAAAGGACAGCTTAATACGTTCAAAACATAACATGCACCAACTTGGGACTTTTGGGACAAAAAATGGTTTCATAAAGTTGCCATGGCTAGATCTACATCATACAAGCATAAAGGTTGGAGCTTTGTACCTCCTGAAGCTTCTAGAGCACAAAGCAACCTCAGATCTACAAGCTTGACTTCCTTCTCCAACTTCTTGATGCAATACTTTCTTCTCCAACTACTCAAAACACACACTTTTAGCTCACACATTCAAGAGAGGGGTTAGGGTTTGGGGAAAACGGCTCAAAGATATGGAGGCTAAGATGATGGAGGATTTTGAGCCAATAAGGACGTTTATATAGCACCCAAACCCTAAATATTAGGGTTTCAATCTGTCGTGAGTACGCCCAGCATACACAAGTGTACGCCCAACGTACTAGGGCACGCCTAGTACGCTCAACGTACCTTATGTACGCTTAGCGTACTCTCTTGATTCCGAAGTTGCAACTTTAGCCCTTAGGCTTCTAGTGGCTTCACTCTTCCAACCCCATGGACTACAAATGACAAAATAATAATAAAAGAGAGGATTCGGAAATACCTACAAATCTCGAGATGTCACAACTTGTAGATTTTCGATTGGATAGGTAATTATGATTGCCGCTCTATGATTTGGGGAATCTATGTACCGTCAGCAATCGGCATTTCCGCCATCGGTCGGGGAGGGTGTGACATGTTTATATGAAAACAGTAAGTAGATAGAATAAAATGTGTTTGTTGTGTTCATATGAAAAAGATATGGAATGAAAATGTGTTTGTTGTGTAATGAATATTCAACACAAAAAAATAACATAAGGGTAAAATGGTCATTTTTAGCAGTCAGCACAACCAGTCAGATGTGTAATCAAACAACATGGTTTCAATCAGATGCAGATGCAGTTAGAGCTTCAGACCCAGTCAAGCTCTTACTCAGTCAATAACTATCAAACAACCCTATAACTCAATGAAATAGGAGGAAAAAGAAACATGGAGCAACATACGTTTACAAGTTGGATTAGTAATCTTCTATAGATTTTTTTCTTCATTTTAAATGCGTTTATAACATACAAAAAGGAAGAAAGATGAGAGTATTTGAGCTTATTTTTTGAATTTGTTTTACAACATACGAAGAGGTTAAAAATGTAAAACCCCGAATCCTGGATGTGAAACTTGAGAGTTATAATGCACCTTGTATGACCTACTCGACGAGTTGGTTGGTCCCGACTCGTCGTGTAGGAGCTGAGCTGGCCGTACGATTTATGAAGCTGACTGGTCGAGTCGAAGGGATGGACTCTACGAGTTTAATCTGTATTGAGAAAACCCTATGTAACGCCCCGATTCTCAGGTATTGATTTAAATAAGAATCCTTTTGTTTCAAGGCCTACTCGACGAGTTGGTTGCCCTACTCGTCGAGTAGCAGTGGGTTGGTTCGCGTATTTAGTGGCCTACTCGCCGAGTCCAAGAAGGGACTCGACGAGTAGGAGCTGGCAGATGAAACCCTAAATCCCGGGGTTTTTGCACCCTATTTAAAGAAGCACAAGCCTCCTTTGGTCTCTTTACAGT